GTCTCAAACCCCTGAGCTCAGGCAATCCTCTTGCCTCTGTCTCCCAAAATGCTGGGATTACAGGCTGAGCCACCATGCCCGAATCTTATTTTTTCCTAAATTAAGTTTCTCTCTTTGTTATCCTAGGGCATGGAAATGGTTACTAAGATTCTTACCAAATGTGGAAGATTTTCTGAGACAAACTGACTTAAAATACAGACCATGGTAGCCTGCAGGCAACCCCCTTTGTGGGTTCTGGGAAGCATATTCCCAAAAGGTAAAACTGAAGAGGAAGTTTCCAGCAGGAGGCCAAGGGCTGCACTACAGGGCAGCCTTGCTGGGCTTCCGAGCTGCATCTCACATTGGCATCTTGCCAGGTACTGTGGACAATGACTTTCCCACATGTTTCTAGGGAGGAGGCGGGTAGCCTGAGAACCATGAGCTCTGCTGGGATGGGATGATACAGTCTTGCTACAAACTCTGTCTAAGTGTCATCCCTGGTTCCTGGGACTTTTTGGCTACTCTGGGGACCCTTGATGGGGTCCATGGCGATGCGAGGCGTGCACTGGCTCCCCGGCTCTGAAAAGAGGCCTGGAAAGAGCAGCTTGGCCTCGGAAGAGGGCGAAGCCTGGGCTACGCTAGAGGTACCTAAACCCCAAAACCAAGGTCAAGATGAGCCAGCTAAGGTGGGGTGACCAAGGTCTGACATCCTCACAGGTCTCTTCCTCTTGTAGTGTTACCACACTGATGGGAGAACAGGCCTTGAGCAGCCAAGGGTTCTACACAGGCTGGGGTGAAAGGGCCACGTGCGTTTTTCACAAGTCTCACTCTTTCCCAAAGCTCCACCCCTGCTGTTTCCTGCCATATCCCAACACCACCTGTACTGTCCCCTGTGTTTCAAGTCAGCTACCTCCTCTAGTTAAATACACATTATGACTACAGATGGAAAGCCAGTATCCACTGGCATAAATCAAAAGCAACATTAAAACCAAAATAGGCGTAGTCTTTTTTTTTTTTTTTGAGTCGGAGTCTCACTCTGTCACCTAGGCTGGAGTGCAGTGTTATGCTCACGGCCATCATAGCCTCGATTTTCCACCTCAGTCTTCCAAGTAACTGGAACTACAGGCATGTGTCGCCACACCCAGCTAATTATTTTGATTTATTATAGAGATGAGGTCTCGCCAAGTTCCCCAGGCTGGTCTTGAGTCCATGGGCTCAGGCAATCCTCTTGCCTCGGCCTCCCAATTTGATGGGATTATTGGCATGAGCCACTGTGCCCAGTCCAAAATAGGTATATTCTTTTTTTTTTTTT